TTGTACATTCAATACATACTTAAACACGCCTCTTCTCCTCATATTGTCTTTCATCACTTTTCCTTTAACACATTCTAAACGTTGTAGTTAATATTCTAAAAAATACAGAAAATACTTCACGGCTGGTTTGGTTTCTGGTCATTCCGGAAGTTGTCACATCTTACCCACGTCTGTAAACAATAACTTTATTCAAATAAACTATACCTTCATTTAATATTCAGCAATAATAATACTTCTATAGTTGCAGTGTTAAAATCAGTAGGTTTCGGTGTGCATCACTCCATGTCATTTCGCTACTAAATTAACCTCTATAAGAAATGGTAAACTAGCCACATGCTAACCGGAGATGAAGGATTTTCAGAATAAAAGCTTAACTGGTTGTGCACAATAATTTTCTGGTTTTTCAGTATAAAACAGCATTTAAACTGAAGGTACATTTAAGGTACATTATGCCATCAAAACATTGATTTTAATTTCTAACACTACCTACGAAGATCTCAAGATCACTGCCCCTGGAATGTCACGGCAAGCTTTTGTCAGCATGCTCGAACATCGGACAAAGCTCTTCGGTCGGGTGAGTACAAGATGGAAGTAACTGTACAATTTAAATTGTAGTTTAAGTTCATTTGTATGATTTAAAACATTTTTTTAAATCCTATTTGCTTTTAGAGTGGTAAGATATGTGGCGACACACTGCAGAAGTCCTTTCTGGAATGGACCTATGCCAAATTTGAGGTCGAAAGGCTGTCTCAGGTGCAGCATTTTCAGTGCCCTTCATGCACACCCTCTATGTTGGCTGTCGCAGTCGATGGGAACCGTAAACTCTACCGCTTTAAGAGCCAACCAGGGTGTGTAGAATTTTCTCAATTTGAAATTTTAGAGTGCCTTTTTATGGTACTTTTGTACAATAATCAATTTTTTCTTCTTTAAGACCTTGTGGATTTTTCTACGGAGTTTTTTTAGCCAAGGATCCTTTGTCGATTACATCCATGGGACAACAAGACACGTAAAGTTATTTTACATTCTCCATATTTTAAGACATGCATTTGTAAGTGTAATGAACACTTGTAGCATGCTTCTCGCCTTTGTTGTGTATTAATATGATGTCCCCATTGTGTAGGCAATAGGGGTGTAACGGTTCACAAACATTTCGGTTCGGTACGTACCTCGGTTTTTTGGTCACGGTTCGGTTCGGTACAGCAGAATTTTTTTTCACATACAAAACATATATATATATATATTTTTTATTATTATTAAACTGTGAATAATGTATTCACTCAAATAAATACAAAATATAATAAAATAAACATTAAGGTGCAGCATTTCGATGAACTGAAATAGTCTGTATTTGAACTTTACTGTACTAGTACTCACAAAACATAAACTATTAGTTTTGGGTTTTTAATTATTATTAAACTGTGAATATTCACTCAAATAAATACAAAATATAATAAAATAAACATTAACCAGTTAAGCCCGAAGGTCCCCCCAGTGGACCCCTCCCACAGTTTTTTTTTTCTCACATGTCTCAGGGCTTCTTAACATTTATGAAACTATTAATGTTTCATACCCTTTTAAAGGTAAGAAACTCCGCTAACTGACAATAAGAACAATTGTTAGCTAAGAAAAACACAAAAGTAATACCAAGCCTTTGAATTAGCATTGAGCGAAAAAATGCTAACTAATGCTAACGCTTTTTTACACACAACACACGGTAGAAATGCCCTTATTAGTATCTTAACTGCACAAACAAGATATACGATTTAAAGCTGAGACTCCACAGATTCCACAGATGTAATGTCATCACTGTCCGACCTCGAATTCCTGGATCTATCAGCCAGAAAAGAGAAAGTAAACAACATCCGGTTCCAAAAATATTACAATAATTACGTCTTACCTTTTTTGATTTGTGATCAAAAGTTGTGTTCAACGGAATAAAAACGCATCTCAAGGTTAATCCAATGTCTTTGTGTCACGTAGAATTTTTTACTGATAATCAATCATCATATTTATGGCAATATACTCGGTATAAAGTATTGCCGTCCAGGCTTGCACTTTCAGATATGCTTCGTTTGCTTCTCTATTACGTCCGCTATGGTAATGTTTACGTAGATTTGGGAACTGCCCATCGATTCTATTGGTTCTGATGGTTAAGAAAAAGGTGTAAATCACACGAATCGACCAATGGGTTCCAGAGATATGGTCCTGCGCAAATTATAAAGAATGCCAGCCAGCGTGCCAACATGACGCAGCCCACTTCATTTATTGTTTACAGCGTAAAGAAGCAGGTATTGCAGCAGGACCCAGAGCGCACGGAGCACAGAGCGGACAGCAGAGACCAGAGCAGATTACTATATTTGCGTTTAGGACTTTTTCTGTACTTTGACTTTTGTCAAATAATGGCTCACAGGAAAGAGATGCTTACTACTTTACAGGCATTGGAAATTGTGACTAATGTTGACAGCGATGCAGATATGTTACCTGTTGATTCTGAGTCAGACGACGAGGATCTCCTGCAGCCAGAACGGAACCCGGACCGTTGTGACTCTGATGATGAAATTCCACCACGGCAAAGGTATGAAATCTCTCTGTTTTTATCTATTACTTATTTATTTGGTGTACGATTATTCATATAGTAAATAAAAGCGTCTGCTAAATGAAATGCAATGTAGGCTAATGTAAATTCACACGCAAAATGGCATGTTTGTTAGGAATTACAGGGGTTATTTACAAAAATACCAAATAGTGTTTATTGTCCGTTACATTTACTAAAAGTAGCCTATAGGCCAGTGTTCGTCTATAGTCACTAAATGTATTGCATTCACACACTTAAAATGCCATGTTTACTGCCCAGGAAACAGGAATTACAGGAATTCATCTAATCTCTTTGTTATTCCACATTTGTTTTCATAGTGATGGAGATGAGGATGAAATGACTTCTGGACCCCCACCATTGTCTACTTTCACCCAGCCCAAATTACCCAGAGGTGAGTCCGCTTGGACTTTATTTTTCTAGATCTCTCTAAAAAGGTCAAATTTCACTTGTTTTGCATCAATCTTGATACAGGGTACTTATTATATGTTATAGTTTGGATTCCTAAAGCTTTTAGTCTACTAACCCATCATGCAAGGGTGGTTTTCACTATAAGTAAAGGTTTTTTTTTAGGTGGACATTAGAATTTACATGTTTTTACTATGTTCCATCTGAATTTACTTTAAAATAAAAACATTTATATTGATTCTGACACTTCTACATCCAACTCACAGATGTAACCTTGCTTTGAGAAAAAATAATTATTAATTTACCCCTTTTAGAAGTGAAGATATATCATTTGTTGTGTTAGTGGCATTTTCGAGCCTGAAACCTGAAAAACAGGCTCAGGGCTTAACTGGTTAAGGTGCAGCATTTCGATGAACTGAAATAATCTGTATTTGAACTGTACTAGTACCTAAGCAGCCAGTTTGACATTAGGACTGGCTTGTCATTGTATTTTCATGTTGTTTTAAAGAAAAATGAACTTGTCCACATTGCTTGCCGAAAGGGCAGATCTGCTGGCACTAACAATGTCTCCTGCTGTGGAGAACACCCTCTCTCTAGGGACAGAGGTAGCAGACACAGCCAGGTAGCGCTTTGCTAACATGGCAACATAAGGATATTTGGCGTTTGTAATAGCTTTGGCTCGGTCTGAACTCTCTGCGAGTGGTGGAGGCTTGAATGCTAGTGGGAGTTGGGTTTGCACTTCAGTCTTTTTTCTTTTGGTACCGGTGATATTCACGTTCGGGTGATGCCTTTTCAAGAGTGTGCAAGTTTAATGTATTGCCAGCCGCGTAACCAATTTTAGTTGAACAATGCCGACAAACAGCTTTGGTTCAGTCCACCTGTCTTTGTCCGTCATCCTTGTACGTAACTGCGAAACCAAAATGTTCCCAAACCGGAGACTTCAATGATGCTGGAGGATTTTCGAGCTCAACTTTATCTGCGTTCGTCATTAATTTTCGACAGTTCCTCAAATTACTGACTACATTTTAACTCATCCCTGTGACCAGCTCTCATAGTATGCCTCTCATCCAATGAAATGACTTGCTCGCTCTATGACACGTTGAACCCAATGTGAGCAAATTACTCTGAATGCTGCGACGCAGCACCTGAGATTACTTCCAATAAGTTGTTCACGTTCTCAATTGTTTACGTTTAACGTTATATTCGTTCGGTACACTTCGTTACACACCTGTACCGAACCGAAGGGCCCGTACCGAATAATTTCGGTACGGGTACGTGTACCGTTACACCCCTAGTAGGCAATGTCTTCAGCATACTTCCAGTCTCCTGTCTATATGTCTCTATATTCTTTCATCTGTTTTAGAATCCTGCAAAAGGAAGATGTGGTTCCGGTCAGTGGTCGGCTGCCCGAGAGACTGCCAACAAGTCTGCCAGCAAACTAGATGAGGAAGGCGTGGAGGTTGCTGTCTGCCGTCATGGGTTCTTGCTTAAGGGATTGAATATGTTCCGTGGAGAAATTTGTGCATATCCTTTATATCTGCAGAAACAGCTTTCTTCACGGAATGTACAGTTTTTTTGCTCTGATGTGGTCTGCAAATACTGGCCATATCTGCAGAGGGTTGCGAGCCACTGTCCAGAGCTGCAAAACCTTTTGAACATGCGTCCATTTCTGTCCATCATGCATGCCAAAGCACATTCATGGTTGTGTGAGGTAAATACAATAATTGGCACAAGACAACATTACTCATTTTCTTAATTTTTCTGTTATCCAAATGGTAACAGTCATCTAAATGTGTTTACAGTTGCGATGGGGAGGACGGAATCAAAAAGGAGCTGGGAATACAATAGGGGAGGAGGTTGAATAGGTGAACAGCTTCCTCTCTCGAGCAGCCATATGTTCGAAGTACATGTCAAAAGCTGGTAAGTATTTTTCATGCAAACTCAATTATTGTATTTTTGGTTTCCTGGCCTAACATAAATTCTGTCTTCAGTTCGCACTGATATGCTTACAATTCAAGCAAGTGGCTGGAACAAGCGAAAGGCAGCAAACCTTGAGCAAACATTGGCTAAAAGATACATGAAGGTACTGACTACACAAATATGTTAATTTAAAACTATTTTTTTTTTAATGTTGGTCAACATTTTGTTACTTTGATATTTGTTTTGACAGACGGGGCAAAGGATTACAGAAGCAACAGAGGATCTGGAGAAACTCACCGCTGAATTGTCACTACAGGACGACCAAGTACAGCAGTGATCTGATGTTCAGCAGTGGACTACAGGTACTGTGAAAAAATAATTTCTTGCACAATAAAAAAAAGCATATTTTTCTCTATTCTGTTGTAGGCTATATGGCCGTGAAAGGGTTTAATTAGAGTTTTATGTGAAATAATTGTTATACTTCTCTTCACAAGGAACACCCATTCAAAATGACCTGCAGAAGACCATTGAAGGACTGTATCTGAGCATCAAGCAGCGAAAATATCAGCTGTATCGCCAGTCTGGTGAGAATTGATTGACTTATGCCTCCTAAGGCAAACCAGCCCCTCCTCTTCTATCAGGGGTACCTCTATGCTAGTAAAATCCATCATTGGAAGGAGGTCTCCAGAGAATAGGATGAATGACTGATCTACAGCAATGGGAATATTGTTTATTTTATTGTCATATAAAAAAGAAATGTCCAGTGACTATAGTGAATTTGTATAGTCCCATTGATGTTATAAACAACTAAGGTATAGATTAATTGGGGTCATCCGTTACCACTTCTATGCAAAAGCATTGAGGAGCGAATCTCCAGTCATTTCTCAGCCGGCTGGACCATTTGCTGGCAACCCTTGCCCTATTTTACCCTCCCATATATCCTTTCTCTTACTGTCAGATAAAGGCGTAAAATGCCATCAAAATCAATAAATAAATGATAAATTCTGTCCCTGCCTGTTCTAAGTATACGCATGCCTAGATATGGAAACAAATGTATTCACTAATATTTCATAGATGGTAAACAATAGCTGATCTATTGAAACATGTTGGTGTGTAATTAAGATTAAAGTAAAACAAAATGTTGGTTCAAATTCTGGCAGGTGGCAATAAGCGGAGACACAAACTCCGAAAAAAGATTGTCGAAGAGAAGAAAGCCTTGGAAGATGCCATCACTGAACACAATGCTGTTGCCGGGGAAGCGGACAAACTCCCTCCTCCTAACGAGCTCTTGGCTGAGGACAACTACTCCTGGAAATGGGAATGTAAGCAAAACCATGTGTATAAACTTATTTGGTGTATTTTGTGCATTTGAAAACTCTGCAAGATAATTTAGGTAGTTTCATTTTTCAATGTTTTCAAGTTGTTCTTCAAACTTGCCTTAAGCTGCAGGAACCTAATGATTATGATAAATTAAAAACGTATGTTGTTGATTGAACCAGAATCAATCAATTAGTCAAATTATAATATTGGAAACTGGTGTGTAGGACGACAACAAAATAAAACAAAATTGCAAACAGTGGTTATGGTATAATTCATATTATCATTGTAACAACTAAATATTAGAAAATCATGATTAAATGTGCAGACTTTATATCTTTTAAAATGCTTTTGTCTGTGCATATATATTTAATGCCATAAACCTGCCAGGCTCAATCTGGCACATATGCATGATGTATTTCTGTGCTTATGTTAAATAATAATAATACATTTATTTTCTATAGCATTGAACCCAAAGACACTTTACATTTGGGAGGGAGGGGAGACAAACAAAACTAAAAAGAAACAAAACAAAACAGAAAAGCAGTCAGGAGGAAGTTGATTGAGAGGGGGGGGGGCTTATGGATACAGAGTTGAAGAGGTGGGTTTTGAGGCGGGACTGGAACAGGGTGAGGGACTCAGACTCACGGAGGTCTTGGGGGAGGGAGTTCCAGAGCTTCGGGGCTGCCACAGAGAAGGCTCTATCCCCGAAGCTCCGGAGTTTGGCCTTGGGGATGGAAAGCAAACTGGCTGAGGTGGATCTGAGGGTCCGGGGTGGTTGGTAGAGGATGAGGAGGTCAGTGAGGTAGGGGGGGGGGCAGATGGTGGAGGGCTTTGAAAGTGAGGACCAGGAGTTGTAATTGTAATATTTCCAATGTAAGATAATTGATAATGCTTTGATGCACTTTGCAGGTCATGGTGATATGGTACAGAAAAAAAAAGGTTTACGACAAGGTAATGCTGCTGAACAGACTGAAAGAAGAAGCTGTTATTGTGGTTCATGAAGTCAAACAGCACTGGGAGTACATGAGGAGCGTGGCAGGAAAGATTGATCACCTGTCCTCCCAGCTTTCTGAAGGCATCACTGGACAAAGTTAGTACAATAAATGATTATTGTTGTTGGTAGTGTTTTGGTCTGGCAATAACATTTAGCTTATTTGATGATTTATTTATTTGATGTCATACATTCTCAGGCAGTACCGAGGCGTTGACGGAGAGAGGACGTAAGGGGCTACTTTGTGTTCTAAAGAAACAACTCCACAAAGTGAAAGCGCAGCAGGCCATGGCACGTATTGCATACCAATGCATTTTGGGACAGCAAACGGTGTCTTTGGATGACTCCTCCGAAGAGCAACCCTCTGACAGTAGCTCCTCTACTGATGAAGAACTTTGACAGCAGTGAATGACTTCAAGCTATAAGGCTGCTTTAACACCTTGGAACAAAGGAAGATAAATGCATTTGTTAAAGTTCTGGTCCTGTTCACACTGACCTTTCACAAACTAACCAAGATAAATTACACCTCTACAGACTGACTAAATAAACTAATGATTGTCATCCTGCATCATCAGAAGCTCCAATGGGTAAATCTAATTCCAGTGACTGACAATTATCAGTTGATGTCCATATGTATTGTCATGGTTACCAAATTATATATGCATTGCCTTAGACCAATCAGGGTATGTGTTTCTGTACTGATTTCACATCAGAGGTTAAGCTTTTGCCATCATTGTAAAATTACATATCTGCTATCATAAAAATCCCTAAGAACCTGTCTCACAATGCCTTGGTGAAACTTGAATACAGTTGTCATTGCTGCAAGAATGTGCATACCTGTCATTGATTGCTTTTGTACAGATTTTTATTTGAATAAAAACGGAATAAGAATTGACTTTCTCTTTATACAAACACGTAATGAAATGACTGAGAACTGTTCCTTAAGTGCAATAACACAGATGCAGGCACCCACAGGGAGAGACAATGACAGCACAGCATACATACCAGTACATTCATGTCAGTGTAAATATATTGTGTAGTCCATCAGTTAATTGCACAGTATTTGGGAAGAGTTAGTTAGAATCAGTGCATTTCAGAGTGGTGATTATCTACAAAAACGCCTCTGAAATTGTATTGAAATATGAGTTGTTATTTCAGATTATGTGTGCAGTGGATGCACATGATCTTTAGTTTGCTAGTTATTACGACGATTACTTCAGGAAATTGTGTCTATACAACGTTGTCATTGTTACCACGGTGGTTGCTAGGAACGCTGCTATCGATATTATTTCTGTTATGTTGTGTAAAATGGTGTTATCTTTATTGCTACCCCCTTCCCCGTCAATGTATAGTGTTGGTCCACAGCGCAAACGTATTAGTTTAACAAAATCCGCATCTAAAATTGTGGCATAGATAGCCTACGTTATTTCCCCCTGTGCAATTCTCCATTTACTCAACACATAATTATCCTTGTGTTTATTTGTTTGATTAATAAACACAAGTTGGAGTCCGTCAGGACCGAGGGTCGGAGCAGCTCATTTGCTTTAGAGAATATTACACCGGGAAGTAAGTATTCTCTCCGCTTCGCTTGACAAACCCCGTGATAGTCCTCAAGCTCTGTGATTGGAGAGTGTGCTCCGAGGGTTACGCCGATTCTCGAACAGCACTTGAAATGGGATGGAACCACGACAGACTGTCCAAAACTGGATTTGAACGGGTCCACCGCGTCCCCGTCCCCCCCACCCCGTCTCCAGAACTACACATGCTGGCTATTCTGTTTCGCAACATGTTCTCTATCTATGGCACGTCTCTACTGGGAGTTGTAGTTTTAAAAGACGTTTTCGTATTTCCCATAATAAGAAGTTGCCAGTATTAAACTGTGTACATCCCTGGAGGTTTAGGGGATAGGAAACACTCAAATTTAAAACATATAATTAATAAATGGGTGAAAATTGCTTGTGCCCTGGTCTTATGTCTGTGACCCCTGTTGTTAATTGATTACATTACATTACATTAATTGATAAGCCTGAAACATGCACTTGGCAAATATGGCAGTAGCCATCGATCAGCTTAAGATAAGATATACTTTATTGATCCCAAGTTGGAACATTTGCGTTACATCAGCATGTGTAACAGTTGTAAATATGCAGTGGTGTTTATTTGTAAATCATTTAGTATAATCACACAAATTCTGTGTTTTATATTTAACAATTCTGTGTTCTTTATTTATTGATTGTTCAATACCTGACAAGGCCGGAGATGAAATATCTACATACATCTTATAAGAGTATAATACATTATGTATAATATCAGTTAAAATAAGTGCTTCAACATAGTTAACATTGCTGGAGGTATGCACAAATATTGATAGATGTCTTGTAATGCACTATTGAGGAACCTGCGTCCCAAGTTTTTCATTCAATGCAGAACTACACCATTGTGTAGGCCTATATGATATGTCAATAAACCTTAGAAAATCTTGAAATCTTGAAAGGGATGTGTAAAATAGTCATTATATACAGTCTTTAATTAACTATTAGTAGAGAATAACGAGTAATGAATATACTTTATAGGGATCCTATTAATATCTAATAATAAAAATAATGAAATTCAATAACATGCTTTAGCCACTAGGTGTCCCTTTATATCAGCTGTGCACCTTTATGGTGTAAATACAGCCTATCTACCAATTGGATCAAATATAAAAGTCAGCCGAATTAGTGTTGATACTGCAAGGAGACGTATTGTGTGAAAAGAAATGTAAGATGTTGTTTAATGGCTGATATATTTATGATCCACGTCACGTTTTCAGTTCCTCATGTTTGTCTATAAGTCTTCTCATCAGGGCTCTATAAATACAGAACTACGGCAGATATGTAATATTTAATGCAGCCGAACCGTGTATTACAATGCCGTTATGTGATGACTTCCAAAGAGAAAAGCAAGCACACTCGGAATAAAGTATTATTTTTAAAAAATGTTTTCGGTCTGTTTCCGGTATTTGTTTATGACGATGTCATGTGAGATGTGAGACTGGAATTGCACAGAGGAAAATAACGTATATATGCCACCATTTTAGATGCGGATTTGCGTTTGCGCTGTGGACCAACACAAATGGACCATTGATGGGGAAGGGGGTAGCAATAAAGATCACACCATTAAACAGTTACACAACATATACAATTCTGTCTGTCTGTCAATTGCCCGGGTCACACAGAGTTCAGCCGCTGGACCTCTGAGAGGG